GTCAGTTCCGAATTGAACAACCACTGTTCTGTTGCCACCATCCATGTCCGCTTTTTCTATTTTCGAATTGTAGTTCCAAGAGATCCAGTCAGTCCAATACATAAATCTGAATTTTAAAAAAATGTATAGTATATTAACTACACAAAGCAGAACTATCAAAACCACTTTGCCAAATGGCGAAAAGCCTTGTTAAAAACCAATATATGATTTTGTCTTTTCAAAGAACCTTGTCACCTACACAGTGACGGAATCATACCAGTACCAACCAAATGACAACCAAATCTCAAAAGTGTAAAGTTATGCTGAGAAATCCCATTATTTTCTGTCAAAAACTACCTGTTATAAACAACCTATTTAATTTGTAGACTTTCAGTGGTTTCTAGCCTTTACGTAGTAAAAGTACATCATTATTGACGAGAAAAAATCGTGGCAAAGGCGAATACAGTGGAACCCCTTAATACGGACACCAAGGGGACATGCCAAAGTGTCCGAATTATTAGGGTGTCCATATTAAGCGGGCTCTCAGATCTAAAGTCAAGGACTCGTATTTTATCGATAAAAAGACTAAGGCAGATATTTTTACGGCAACAAAATGTTTAAATTGTACTTTAGCCTTAGTAAGTTTAAAATACGGAAACCTGTTTTATGTTTATTAAAACAACCGAACTCAACATATGCATCACAAGTTGCCTATTTTCATTTTTAAAATGACTCGCTTAGCAAAACAGATACCGCACTGTAATTGGCTACCCTTAAGAAGAGTGTCAAATATAATTAGACTTTCAGTGATCTACTCACTTCTAATGTAATATAAACTTGTTGGCGATTTTTTTTCGCGTGAGGATCGATAGCTTATTCAGAATATTTTGCTTCCTCACAGACTAACAACATTGAATCAGATTATAGAACTTTCATACCCTCTCGTAACGTCCAGGACAATATCTTTTGGACTTTGCAAGTTTTCTCTAACAAGGACGCTTCGATATAGTCCATTCAAGGATGCAACCTCAATCAGTCGTTCACTGCTGTCCGTCCAGTATATGTTTTGACCAAATGAGTCGACAGCAAGTCCATAAGGTGTCTCGAGTCGAGCTGAGACTATGGTTTCCAGATTGGATCCGTTCAGAAACGCGCGGGAGAGATTGTGTCCAGATCCGTGTCTGTCCAGTAGACTTTTCGGTCAATAAAGTTGTAGTCCAGGGCTGTGGGACTTGAGATATTTTCCTTATTAATAGGAATTCTAAAAGGAGTTGTGCTATAATTCAATGGCAGCTGCTTCAGGCTGCGTCCCTCGGCAAAGAGAAGAAATTTTGAGAGATCTGAAATTGAAGTAACGCCCGGTTTAAACGTCGCNTGAATGAATATGATAATGAATAAAACATTCCATTTCACGCTTCCTTGACTAAAGAGAAAAATGCTTTCAGAGCTATCAAGTAAACTGAGACAGTTGAGCACTGAATTTACAATTTAAGTTCTTTTCTTTAACAAACCAGCATCGAAAAGTTGTCCTGCAAAAACTAATATCTTGTCTCTCTGGGTGATGCAGAAACGTAGACTTTGTTTGCATACTAGCAAGCATGACTCTCCTATCGTTATTGATTCAGTGACTGGCAAGTGATAACAGAAAATGATACAATAGTCAGCAGGAAGCTTATCAAAGTGCAGTAGCTAAAACTGCTCTAGGGGGAAACTATTATTTTACCCTTTTACAGGGCGACAGAATATATCTCCTTCACAGGAACGATTGTGTTTATCGCAACCCAACACAAAGACTGTGACCCTTCTAAACCACAAGCTGTGTAAGGTATTTTGGGAATGTTCATTATTATGTAAACAAAAGAACAAACTCAGGATGGAACGAATTTCAATCACACAGTTTAGGAGCAGGCTTGAAACTAGTTTGCGAAAAAGAATGATATACTAACATGCAACGTCCAATCAGCTGTCAGCTCCAAGTACCTACTAGCAATTATTCTATGACAAAGCTGTAGTGTGTTGTCGAAGAAGTTTATTCTGCTTGTTCATGCAAAAACAAAATTTGCATAACGTGCTAGCCTACTTAAATATGCGTACACAAAATGTAATATACAATAATTCTCCTCCGCTGTCGCTAAATGACCGGCAGCCGGTCAAGGTTTTAAAATCACTAAATGACCGGCAGTCTGATATTTTCCTCAAATTTTAAGGAATCGAAGGGACCCATCCAATTGAAACTATCATATGTCGATTAAGAACTGCCAAGCGATCCAGAAGAGCTGTATAGTCTAACGCTTGATTTACGCTCGGCTCAGAGAGCGAGACCATGGTTTGGGACACTTGAGATTTTTTTGACCGACTGCCGGTCACGGTTTTCAAATCACTAAATGAGGGGCAGACTGATATTTTTCTCAAATTTAAGGAATCGACGGAACCCATCCCACTGACCCGAGCGACCTAGAAGAGCTGTGTAAATCGCAAGTCTAATAAACGCTTGGTTTACGCTAGGCTCAGAGAGCGAAACCTTGGTTTGTGACACTTAGGTTTTTTTTAGGTCGTCTGCCGATCACGGTTTTCAAATGACTAAATGACCGGCAGTCCGAGTCTAATTAAGGGAATCGAGCGAACCGATCATATACAAGCTATCTTACAATATGTCGACTGAGAAGTTTCAAGCGACCCAAAATTTTTTTCTATATTAGAAGTATGAGAATGGATGGGTTCCTTCGATTCCTTAAATTTGAGAAAAATATCAGACTGCCGGTCATTTAGTGAGTTGGAAACCGTGACGGCAGTCGATCAAAAAAAAAAAAAATTAAGTGTCACAAATCATGGTCTCGCTCTCTGACCCGAGTCTAAACCAAGCGTTAACCTTGCGATGTATACAGCTCTTCTGGATCGCTTGGCAGTTCTTAATCGACCTATGATAGTTTGAATTGGATGGGTTCCTTCGATTTCTTAAAATTTGAGAAAAAGTTCAGACTACCGGTCATTTAGTGATTTTAAAACTTTGACCGGCTGCCAGTCATTTAGCCGCAGCGATAATTCTCACGTGCCAGTATGAGGTGATTGAATATGAGGTGATAAATAATCCATGACATTAATGGCAGGTGAGACGAGTAACGTCCATTTGATTAAAATCTTTGTTATCATTCGCAGAAGAAGTAATTGTCTCATGAGATACTTTAGAAACTTATTTCATTATTACTTGATTTAGTTTTAATATCAGGAAAAATTAAATATCAGACTAGGAAATTCATGCCGAAGTGCTCTACCGAGGCATCATTTAAGACTTTTCTGTCCGTTTTTATAAGGTGACCATCAAATACTTCTTCTGAGATAAAATACGATGAGTAATCAAGTGCATATGAGTAAATAAGTCAATTCTTTAAAAGCTTAAAAATTTATGGTCACGGACTAAAAACTTTAAAAATGGATGTTTCAGTTAAAATACGGTAACCTTCACCAGCAATAAACAGTGCGTATTGTGTAAATCAGATGCTTTTAAGAAAACCGAGAACATCACTATGGATTAGCTATTCAACTCACGAAAAGAGCGATACGCTTGTCAGAAAAACAATCTTTGTGACCGCTGAAAATTTTACATCATTGAGATCGAAATCTTGACGGTTTTACGTATAGACCGTATGGTAGGTTGGAAAACCAGGAATTCGGAATTCGGAATTCGGAATTCGGAATCCGGAATTCGGAATTCGGAATTTTATTTAAAAAAATAAAAAATAAATTAAAAAAATAAATTAAAAAAAAATAAATAAATAAATAATAATAATAATAATAATAGTAATAATAATAATAATAATAAATAATAATAATAAATAAATGT